GTCACACACGACCAAGGTTCATTGCAGGTTTAACTAAACCCTGTTTTAGGCTCGTACGAAGTACAAATCTATTGTGAACGTGCGATGAATCGTGTGTTCATCACGATCGTGCAATACATTATAAGTTCATCACATGCGACCAATGAACTGTAAGCCAATCGCAAGCGTATATATGGTATCCATTTAGTGTTTTCTGTGCTCCGAAGGACTAAGTGAGCACTATGTACCTACATTAGCCCCTGCTTATTGGTAAGTGGACTCTTATCAATCAACATTTTGCTTTCACATTTGTTGCGATGGGTCAATAAATACCCGTGCATTGGGTCAGGTGATTTTCTCTATTTTGTTCCACCTTTTGAAGGGCATAGTTGTAAAATTCTTTTGATTACTTAATCGTAAAGCGCCGGCTGGGGTTTCGTACTCGCGCCTGTTCATCTTCCCCGGTGCCGTTTGTCATTCCTGACATGTGAGAACATGTTATAAAGGGGCAGGGAGACTGTATCGAAGCTTCACTTTGTCTCCTTGCTAGCGTCTCTATCCTATTCTATGTGTCCTTTAACTTGCTCTACAACACCCTTTCTATTACCCTTCTTGTTTTATGTCTTACCCACTGTTTATTTGTCATGGCTCCTCGCCAAAAGAAAGTGGAATGTCCTTTTGTCGACTTCGTTAGGGAAGTCGATATAGCAGAATTACTATCAGAGAGGGAAATGACCATGGCGACCAATGGGAGAAGGGGTTTTTGGCCATTGATGCCAGTGTCCCAAGGCGAGGGTGGGTTGTTCGACGTTATCATTGGCACGGAGTTAATGTGCCTTTTCGACTGGCCAGATCAATCGATGTCATATAAATGTCTGGAAACTTAGACTAGCAACTCGAAATCTTCGAGTAGCTATAGTGTCTGGATGGAGTTTGTGCCCAAGAACCCAATGTGCTGTCAGATGCTACAGGACGCTAGAAGGGGGTGAAATATGTAACGCCCCTCCTAGAACATTGGTGCTGTCGGACTCACACCTTCGTCGGTGCGTTTGGCGAGTCCATTGTTACCATTGAAGATTTTGCATCTCTAACATATTGAGTTTGTTCCTTATATTCTGAGAGGGCTCTATGATGAGCTCATCGCAGAGATTGTTGTGTTTAAGTCTCAAGTGGATAAGATCACTGTGCAGGGAAATTTGCTGTTGGAGCAGTGGCTTTAGTATTGGTTTGAGTCTCACAGGTAGGAGAAATGTGATGGTGCGTGGAGTAGACAACCAATGCTACCTTGCTGCTTTGATCCTGTATGTTGCTTCCCGGTTTCTGTTCCCGGGTCTCCTTGACTATGGGTTGCATAGAGTTTTGGTGCCTCTCGCCGCCATGGTTGCTAGCGGCCATCGGTTACCCTTGGCATCTATGTTTCTGGGTTACTTGTCTGAGCAGCTAGATGATACCGTTCAGCAAATAATGGACCCTAGTTGCAAGAGGTGCATCAGTTACGTCTGTGCTCCCTTTTTGTGGATGTTTATGTGCGAGCGATTTGACCTCAGTGTCACACCCCATAATCTCTCTTCTATACGCATGGACATGGCTACTATGGAGGGGAAAACGTTGGCTCCAGGCCAATAGACACAAGCAGTTTAAGATGACAAAAATTGGTTTAAGGCTGGCTTTGCTCGATGATTTCGTGTGGAGGTCGTAAACCCAGGCCATTCGCCATGCAATGCCGTTTTGCATCAGCGCTCCAGTCTCTGAAGATAGTGACCAACAGTGCATGATGGAAAGCAAAAGTCCTGCCATAGGTGTGGTGCAGCTAGTCACTTGGCCTGGCGTCATCGCGTACCTTGATCACACAGGTGAGGCCCAGTTGAGCGTTTACTGACTGGACTGTGTGCTTCGCTAGTTCGGTTATGATGACATGGGTGCTCAGTTCCTGAGATCCATGGGATAAGATGTCTTCTAGGTCTGGTGCTGTGACCTTGCCTTCCTTGGGTGCGCGCAGTTCCCCGTCGCAGGTTTTGCGAGGGTGCAGGGTTGTAAGTACCTTCACTTTGCATATATTTGTATGCTATTTGGGGGCTTCCAAGAGCTGTTGAGGACGAACCACCATCCCCTTCATGTCTTGGCTCCCCTTGAAGGTCACGCTACCAATCAGGGTTATAGTCCTGCTGCTCCTCCATCGCACTTTCTGAAGAAAGGGAGGACAAAGTGTGATGGAGAGCATTCTGTGGAGGTGGAAGAGAGTAGATGTCCTCCAGCGAAGAAGCTGAGGTCAACGAGAGTGCCTTGCCCAGTTCAGCCACAAGTTGTACCACAACCTTCTGCCTCGGATGTGGCTTCATCGTAGGTCCGGGAGTGTCGTACTAAGTCCAGACAAGAACCCCTTATTCCGACACCAAAGGGGAAAGATCACTCTGACGTGGAGTTAGCGTAGTCAGCGATCTTTGTCCCTCAATGGAAAGTCACCTGTGTCTGCTTCTCGAGTGGGCGTGTGAAGAAGATGGCTCCCCGACCTCAGAAGAGGGGGCCAGAAGAAGGGGATTTGATAAGGGATCTTAACTATCTGTTCCTATTATTTCCTTATTACTGTGATTAACTTTTCTATTCTGTGACTGACATGTTCGGTTTTCGTTTTGTAGTCTATGGAAACCAGCGAAGTTCCGTCGGATACTAATGCTCCAGAAGTCCCTCTCGAGGGTGTAAGTATGGAGGTACGTGACCTCGTCACAGATTCCCAAGGAAGTAAGCCCCTTTGATCCAGTTCCGCCATTTGTCGAGTAATTGCCAGAAGCAACTCAACCGACACAGCCCCCCATTTAGGTCGATAAGGATGTTGAGATTGCTGGTGTTGGTGATGCCACTGCCGATGCTATGGCATGGGAAAAGGAAGGCCTTATGGGGTAGAGCCAGAGCCAGTGGTTTGTCACGAAGAGGCGTCCGCTCCTTCTGTAGCCGTCGAGGTCGAGGCCCCCACTGATCTAGAGACCCAGACTGAGGAGGAAGCCAAATATTCCATTGAACCAAAGATCCCTATCGAAGGAGTTGGGGCTCCTGCAGACTTGGAGGTCCAACTTGGAGATGGAGGCGTAGGGTCAAGGGTTGTATCGCCAGTTGAAGAGTTGACGTATGAGGAGCTTGCGCAGATACAACAGGAACTCGAGGCGTACTGCGATAAGCATGACATCCCTCCTTTGGGTTATGCAGCCGTAGACCCTGTTCAAGTCCAAGGTCGTTGTAGGAATGACAGGTACTCTGTCTCTTGCTCAGTGGTGGAGTTCACTTCAATTATCATACAAGCTTGATGGTTACCGTCTACAAATCTTCACCCGGTGGTCATGGGCCCAGCTCTAAATACAATTACGACCATGATGGACCACATAATGAACTGTCCTGTCAAGGAGCTCTCATGGTCAGACTTCGCTTGATGGATGGAATCCTGTAGGTCCTTTTTCATCATCGGCTTCTAGATGGGTCAGATTGAGAAATGAGTTGTTATGTTTGCCCATGCATTTTGGAAGGCTGGCCTGAAGGTGTCATAGTCGGTTTTATTTTGCTTATTGAAAGACGCAAGCCTTCGTCGGAAAGTGGTCATGGCTAGTATTGCAAAGGCGACAGAGAAGCTGGAGGCTCTGATGGATGAATGTGGTCGACAAAAGAAGATCCTAGTGGAGTATGAAGCGAAAGTTAAAGACCTGGACAACTTTGAAGAGTGCAGAAGGCTTTGGAGAGTATATTGCCATGCGGAAAGATTGGGCAGCGGCATGAATATTTGTGATTATTGACCCTTGTAAATTATTTGAGAATTGGATGAGAAAAAACTGTGAACTTTTGCCTTATGTTATCTCTTTCCATATCTGTGATTATTTGTGTTGTGATAATTTTATTGCAGTGTTTATTGGGCATTGGCCTCTGTGCAGTTATTATCAGTCTCTAGCGTATATCAGAGCCAATCGTTTTGAAAAGTTTTCTTAGTGTTTTTTGTGTTTATTGTTTGTGAAAAAATCCATATGATAATCATTTAACTCCATCGCAGATTGGGCAGTCTCATGTCCGGAATGGTACTACTTACTAGAAGGCTACATCAAGGCTTTATCGCGAAGGCTACACGAGCAAAGATCAACTACTTCTTGGCCATATACTAGTGAGTATGGTGTTGCCTGTGTGCTTTTCCTTATTGTGGTACGATAAGCCTAGAGTATTTCTGATAACTTTTCTGACCAATCCTTTTGGTTATCAACCACCGTTTTGCTTAACATCCTTAGTAAACTCTTATTGGTGGCTTCTGCTTGGCCATTTCCTTGTGGGTAATACGTCGTGGATGTTCCCAATCTTGCACCGTATTGCCCTAAAAAGATCCTAGGCTTCCTGATTCTTAATGGATAGGCCGTTGTCTGTCAAAATCATCATTGGGACTTTGAATTGGTGAACTACATGTTGCCTGAGGAAATTTGCTATGTTTTCTGTGCAAATCGTTTGTAAAGGCCAACCCTTTGCCCATTTGGTAAAGTAGTCTATGGCCACTATGATGAAACGGTATCCCCTTGAAGGGGGTGGATTTTGCCTACGAAAACTACTCCCAGGTGTGGAAAGGCCTGGGTGTGATGATAGGATGGAGATTGTTGGCAGGTTTGTATATTCTTTCAGCATGTATCTGGCATTTATGACATCTGCACACATGTTTTTGAGTGTCCTCCACCATGGTGGGCTAGTAGAAACCTAGGTGTAAGATGTGGTTGTATAGAGCCACCTATCCTTGGTGTGGGGTGGGCTTAGAGCTATGGGCTGCTTCTAGCACTTCCTCTATTTCTTCACTGGCCATGCATCATAGAGGCTTTCTAGTGTGAGACTTCCTGTATAACATTCCTTCTTGGAGGTAGAATCTCTTGGCTTTGGATAGAAGCTTCCTTCTCATTGTTGGGTCTATTGATAGTGTATTTTCTTTTAAGTACTTTACATACATACTCCTCCAACCTATCTCTCCTACCACTAGGCAATCTCTCCCATCCACCTTTGGAACACATTTTTCACAATCGTGCTATATCCTGGCGGCGTCTAACATCATCACAGGCCAGTAGCACCCCAATCTTTGCAGCTTTCTGCATAGGGCATTGGCGATGTCTCCATAATGAGTCTTGTAGGTTTCATTTAGGACTGTCTCCGCCTCTTTTGACCCTAAGCACCTCATTCTGGCCCTGTCCACCAGCTGATGGTATAGTACCCCATTCACCAATTGGAACCTCAAAACTACATTGCTATCATGCATCCCCACTGTCGGGCTACTTAGTTTCTGAATTATGTCATGCCTCTAATCGTCTGTCGTGATTTCATCTTCCTTTTCTACCTAGTCCTCCAACGTAATGGTTGATGGTTTATTAAGGGCCTGTTTGTTTGCTCTAAAGTCTAACATTTGAAAATGTAATAATTACATTAAGAGGTATATTGGTATTGGTGAACTTTTCTTTCCTCTGAACTCTGAATGTAGAGAATGTTGTTCTTAATTTTGAATTATGAATTCTGAAAACTATCACATATCCATTTTGACACCATATATGAGAGTTTTTGTTTGTCTTTTTGGGGGTATCATTAGAAAACAAAAAGTTGTATGACTGTAGTTTAAGAGATAAGAGATAAGAGGAAACGAACAACAAATTTTCTCTTAAAGTTAAAAGATTTCTCTTAAGAGATAAGAGTTAAGAGGAAACAAATAGGTCCTAAGTGTTTGAATGATAATTTTGATTGGGTCTTTGCTGGATTGTGTTTTTGATCCCAAGGTAGCTAGTGCATTGGCAAACCTGTTTTTGGCCTTGTTTTGATGTTCAAAGTCTACCTCCAGGTCACGGATTAGTCTCTTGATAAAGGTCCTATATGGAAAAATCATTAACTCTTTAATTGTCATGCTTCCATCAAGCTGGCCAATTACCAATTTAGAGTCGCCAGTCACTCTGATCTTCTTAGCTCTAGAATCTCTTGCCTTGATCAAAGCCAAGACCAAGGCTTCGTATTCTGCTATGTTATGGGAACAGGGGAATTGAAGTTTGAACGAGTAAGCAGAGGTATGCCTATTAGGCGAAGTCAAGGTAACCCCAGCATCGGCTGAGTTATTAGTACGACTCCCATCAAAAGTCAAAACCAACTCTCTTCCTTCGGTTACCGCGATAATGGGTAGGTCTCCTGGTATTTCTTCCGATATGGGAAAGTCATCATTAGAGGGAGAGGTTACGTGGTCCACCACTGCCTGATACTTAATGGCCCTAGGTTGAGTGTATTCAATCATATACTCACTCAGCTGCATCATCCACTTGACAAGTCTGCCAGAAAGGGGAGGTTTCTCCATAAAGAACCTGACTGGGGTTTTTAAGGCTTTGAAGGTGCCTAGGACTGCCAAGGCTTATTAGAGTGCCTAGGGCTGCTAGGGCTTAGAGAGTGCATGGGAGTGGTAGGGCTTATTAGAGTGAGTGTGGGTATGTTTGAAACTCTGAACCAGACCACTTTCCAGTTATGCCCTGGACCTTGGAGACAGATGGGGAAAACTAGAAAGTTACACCTAACCCCTAGACTCGATTATGGTACTACACTAGGTGTTGGATTGGGTTGTCTTTGATATGCCAATCAGTGAGATCCTTAGCGGGGGTCAAAACTTGGGTATGTTGGGATAGTCTGAGAATTCACCTGAGTGGGTGATCATAGTGACAGAATCAGCCCCTTTGTCGGACAGAGTGAATGATCGGGGACAACACTCTCTCTAATGGAAACCTAAACTGCAGATAGCTGATTGAGATTTGTTTTGCAATATATATATATATTATGTTTTTATGAAAAAGGTTTGCAATGGTTTTAATTCCTGAGATCCATCTTAAGTAGAGAGTGTGACATTGTACCTTGTAGCCAAGGGAGAGGTCCTCTCTTTTCGGGTAGTGTTTGATCATTATGGGCTGAGAAGTTATGTGTAAGACCATTTAGTGTTTATATACCTGATGGGGTAATCTCACTTAAGTCCATAGTCCTTAGGGCTTCATAAGGTGGCTGGACCCAATGACCATTTAGTGTAAATGTTAGGCTTGCTAAGAGCCCATACTGATGGGCTTAGGGGTTCACTGTGTTTAGCAGTGAATTCGGCCACACCTTGTTACAAAAGCTAGGCTGAACCCATATGGCTTTTGTGGAGATCAATGTTAGGGTCCCACACCATACAAAGAGAGCCAAGCTAGCCAACAAATTAAAAGGGAAGTGAGCCTGATAGCTTAATGAGCCTAAAACCCATTTCGGATTGGGTTAATTTGATTAATTAAATATAGGCGAATTTGTGCTTAGATCTGGATATGGATCAGCAAGAAGATAAGATAAGTCTTATCCACTTAAGAGTTCAGATCCAAGTAAAGATTTGGATCGATGAACCCTTTCCTAACAGGATTAGGAAGCTGATTCAGAAAGATTATAACTAGAGGGTGAATTCCTTCTGTTAAACACTTTTACAGAATCCAGATTTTTCCTCTGTTCTTGCCACCCTACCTTGTTTGATCTCTATAGTCTTGGACTGATCAAACTGAGGGGATGAGAGATCCATCCTATGGACGCCCAAAGATTGCGGAATAAGGGGTGAATTTCAAAAATTTATCTCTCCCTTCAACTGGGAATCGTATTCCCTATTTAGAAAA